GACTGGGTGGTCAGCAGAGACCCCTGAGGACTGGGTGGTCACCGGAAGCAGCACTCCACAGCAAGAGCCCAGATCCGGGCAGTTGGCCTCCGGACCCCCTGATCAGGACATCCTATTCGTTTTTCATCTCAGACATGCCAGTTCTGAGGGCGATGAGTTAGGGGTGCCGCTGTGACCCCTTGCATTGCTACCATCTGGCTGCCAGCAATGCTCGTGACAGGTAGGGCTGAAAAGGCTACGAGCCGTTTGCCCTCATCTGGAAAAAACAAGATGGCTTTGCTGACCTCATCAGTTCTCACAGGACGCTCCCGTGACTGGCTCCCCTGCCTCCGACTCAGACATTGTCACCTCTTGTGACTGTAAAATGCCATCTTGGGCCAGGCATGGTAGTGTCTTCTTGTAATCTCAGCACCCAAGCGGCAGAGGCAGAAAGAGAGTCACCAATTGGAGGCCAGCCTGGTCTTCATAACGAGTTCCAGGACAACCAACGTAAGATACCAAGATCCTGTCTCAAAAAACAAAACAATTTAGCAGTCAGGTATGGTAGTACATGCCTGTAATCCCAGCACGTGGGAGGTGGGAGGGGAAAGATCATGAGTTCAAGGATATCCTCAGTTACATAGCAAAATCAAGGCCAGATGGAGTGCAGGACACCTTGTCTTAAAGCAAAACACACACACACACACACACACACACACACACACACAGAGAGAGAGAGAGAGAGAGAGAGAGAGAGAGAGAGAGAGAGAGAATTAAGCCAAGTAAAACAACAAAAAAATTTAAAAGATAAATTGAGTGCATAGGGCTGGGGAGGCTGAGAATACCGGCCGCTTGCCCAAAGAATCTGGGTTTGATTCCTGGTACCCACATGATGGCTCACAACTGTCTGTAACTCCTAACTCCGATCCCAGCAGCTCCAACTCTCTATTCTGGCCCCTATGGGCACTGCGCAAAAGTGGTTCACAGACACACATGCAGGCAAAACACCCATACACATATGAAAAAACACACTTAAAAGAATAGTGGTTAGTGAGTTATTTTAAAAACCGCGTCTAGTGGCCTCTACCCAATCCAGGCTCCTCCTCTCTAGACACCTGGGTCTTCTGTGAGCTGTGACCATAGTGGGAGGAGGGCGTTTGTTCACAAGCACTGGTTACTGTTTACTCCCAAACAGAAATTCTTGTGGCCAGCAGCATCTCTAGCCTCCTCCCGCTAGATACCCGCAGCACGCTTCTCTGTGACAAGGATGCTCCTGGAATTGCCGAGTCTCCCCTGGGGAGGCAAAATTAGTCCTTCCCACAGGGAGCCAGTGTCTTGGGGCTAGGAACCCTAGAGGAAGCGTGGTGTAGAAGACAAGGGGAAAGGAGGCTCTCAGCGTCTCTCGAGCCCAGAAGGAGCCGCAAGGAGGAGGCTGTCTCTGCCTCAGGGTCCTTTTCCTGCAGGCTACACTGTGATTTCACAGGCTGCCCAGCTCTGAGCGGTCAGTCTTAGGCACAACTGCAGAGGCTCATTAATCACCCGTTAATTGAGTTCATGGCAGTTGACCTCTCTCCTTTCCTGATCCAGCCCTAAGGGCGTAGGCATTACTCATGTTGGACCACTGGTCCTCAGGAGCCTCAGCTGCCCCAGCCCCAGCTCCTACCCTGAGGATCTCAGGTCCCGCTATCCCCTCTGCCTTGCTTCCGTCCCGCCAGGGGACTCACATCTTTTAGGGTGCTGGAGTATGAGCCCACGGTCTCGTGCATGTTACGCAATCACTCCCCATTGAGCCACATTCCCACACTGGCAATGGATCGCTGACTGCCCCAGAGACTGGGGATGTGGATGTGGTGGTGGGGGGGGACAAAGACATTGCCTCAGGGTGCTCACAGTGCAGGGGGCTTCAAGTACATCAGCTGTAGGGAGGGCTAGGGGCTCCTCTCTCCTAGAACCTCTGGAGCTGGCCTCTAAGCTAACACTTGCTCTAGGTAGGGAAGGAGTGAGGTCTCAGGTACGGGGTTCAAAGGAGATATGAGGTGATTCCCCCTTGAGCCCTACAACTCAAGACTTTTCAACGAGGAGAAAGGGGGGCAGAAAGTCTAGAAATAGGAAGTTCACTTTTCTGAGCAGGGGTAGATGCTGCTTTGAGGCCGAGGCAGCTGTTGCCTGGGATGGCAGAAGGGACAGGAAGGACAAATGTCCCCAGAGGCTGGACAAGTGATGTCAGTCCGGGGTTCCCTGCCTGTCTTGTCCCTGCCACTGCCTCAGCTGTCCCTACAGCCTGTCCTTACGCAATGGAAGCTTCTGTATGCCACGGACCACGTGAGGGCTGCCCCCTTCCCTGCTCTTTCACCTAGACTTGGGGATACTCCACCCAGGGCAGAAAGTGTGGCCGGCCATGTGTGAGTTAGGGGCGTGGGGCTGGATGACGCCAGAGACACAGGAGGGTAAGTATGAGCCTCCTCCCAGAGCTTGGACCTGTCCAGTGCCCTGTCTAATCCCTCTAGAACATAAGAATTGGCTCAGAGCCTGCAGGCCACCCCATACAAGCCATTTCTTCTGCAGGGGCTGGATAAGGAGGTGGCCTGGCTACCCCACCCAGATCCCACGCCTTTGGTGGAACCCAGGTACCTAGCTGCATGACACAGCTGTGGTCTCCCATTATCAGGGCACCTATGGGTGGGGCAGCTCCATTTGCTTAAGGCTTAGCTCAGAGTAGCCCCAGCCCCCGTGACGTCAAACCTGACCCCTTATAAGACGAAGGGTCTCTGGTCCATGGTCCCTCAGCGGTCTCCTAGCTCTGACATGGCTCAACTGACCAGCGGTCTCTGTTCCACGTTTGTCTTCCTCTGCTGCCTCTTCTTCCTTCCAGCTTCTTGGGAGGCAGGTAAGATGCCCAGAGAGGTAAAGGGGTCCCCATTATATAGGGGGTAGAAATCACGAAAGTCTTATTTCTTGGTGTGGATGGGACTGGATGATCGGCGAGCAGCATGAATGGCTGTGAAGGGTTGCTAGTGTGTTCACAACATGTCGGAGATCAATTCTGCTCCGTTTCTTTTGAGACGGTCTTGGGGGGGGCTACACCTGCCTAGAGCTTCAATCTTACATAAAGATGCTATGTGGACTTTAGTTCTGGGGGGACGGGGGAGGAAACTCGCACATCCTGGGCACTTACCACAGGTAAGGAACCCACTGATACTCATGGTGCTTCTGCCAGTGTCTCCTTAATCCCCCAGAGGGTCAATGATCTCCATCTTCTAGCAGAGTCACACAGCTGGGGGAGCTTTGCGGGGCAAGAGCACAGGGTGGGCTCCGGAAGGTCCTAGACAGACCCGGCTTCCCCACTTAACTCAGCCATTTAGCTCACCTGTCAACGATACAGCAGGAAGGATGCTGGCAGCCTGTGCCCGTGCCGGGGGGGGGGTACAGCCTACTCTGCACCAGGCATGGTTCTGGCGCTTGGTTCATATTTATTCATTTAACCCTCATGGCAGCTCAGTGAGGTTCTGTCCCCATCTGATAGGTGGAAAATATCCCAAGACTTGGATAAGAAAAGTTTGCTGCACACAAGAGATGCTAGGGAAGGAGGTAGCGTCTAGATCAGTTCACTTAGTTAACAGACAGTGCTGGGACAGGGAGTAGGGATGCCAAATGTGGGGGCACTTTGAGGGGACCTGGACATCTACGGGGGCGTCTTTATCATGTGAACAAAAGTGCAGAGCTCCCACATCTCTAACAGATGTGAGACCTCAAACCAGAGGTCTGGGGGTGGGTACTTCTGGGGCATGGCAGGCAGCATCTTCTTTCAATAGGCTCACCTGGTGAAACTGGGCCGGGGCTCCTGTCCTGAGCGAAGGGTCTTGCTGGGGTTCCTGTGGGATGGCAGGGTTGGGAGCTGAGACTCAGCGCCTCTGACAGACCTCTACAATGTGGTCTGTTGGCATCCTGAGCTGACGTCTGTGCTCCTACCCAGAGGGTCCTGGCTGATGTCTGTGCTCCTACTCAGACAGTCCTGCGGCACAGCCCTAGAGAGCCTGTCCGAGCTTATCTGTTTCTCTTCCCGTGTCACTGGATATCCACCTGGTGTCAAGCCACGGCACGAGTGGAACAAACCAGTAGGGGGCGCAGGGGAGCAAGTTCACCCTAATCACCTGGATATTTGCATCAGGACAGAAGACTGGGTGCAGCAGTAGTGATGGGTGTGGTTGGGGAGCTTGGTGGGGCAGGGAGAGACTGGAGGGTACACAGGCGTGTGTGTGTGTGTGTGTGTGTGTGTGTGTGTGTGTGTTGTCTGGGCCAGGGTTGGGGCTCATGACCGTGTACAGCAGAAAAAGAAGTCAGGGAAGAGACAGAAGAACAGAAGAAATCACCCAAGGTGGGCCAAGTCCCCTGGACTGTTCCGATGTGGTCCAGGATCTGTCCACAGGACCTGTTTGTCCCCAGACTCAGGTAGGACACAGAACTCCAGTGCCTGCCCAGGGAAGTCCCA